TTCAAATTTATTCAAAAAATGCCAACGGCCATTTAACTCTGAAATGGACATTACCTATGTGAAAAAAAGACCAAAAAATCTGATTTTAATCGATTTTAACCGATCTTGATCGTTTTTAATCGATTTTAATCTAATTCATCGACGTTTTGGCCTACACGACTAAGTATGAATTGGTGTCATATGTGGAAGTGTATCAAAGATAGGGCTAGTAGTACACTTACCATTTGTCAACGTGAAGAGTCAGAAAAAATAATCAAAAATTGGAGTTTCTAAGTTAAAACTGGAGAAAAACGCGTTTTATAGTCATAGCAATTAAAATCGATTAAAATCAGACAATCGGGTTCAAATCGGATTAAAGTTGTGCCATTTTAGTCGATTTTTAATCAGAAAAAAATTGATTAAAATCAGATTTTTTGGTCGTTTTTTTCTACATGGGTATTCGATTCACCAATTTGTCAACAGCAAAATGTCACTAAGTTTATCATTCCTTTTGAGACTACTTGTGATGACATTAGAGATTGGAAGGAAGGTTGAAAACAATATCATTTTTTCTCGCTTCGGATTCTATTACAAACATCAACTGCTGATACCGAGTGGAATGTCACTGATGATCATAAATGCAACCATCATAACGGTTTTATGATTGAAGAATGCTCGAAGTTAAAATCTTTGGAAATGCTCAGAGCCAGTGGGTTCAATTGAGTTAAAACCAATCGAATTATACTGTGTTGATGAAATTCATTTTCTTTCACCACAGAAATTCTATTGTTGCGTAGTTCTTAATGCAGATGATATTCAGAATGAGTTTAGATGCCGACACATATTAACAAAAAGTTCTACTCATATCTAGGAACTCATGTGTTTTGTTTTAGGCTACCTTTCATGACTATTTTTAGCTTTTCTCAATGACTCTGATGCCGAAAAGTCTCTAACATCTAGACTACTCGAAGCAGAAAAGACGGAAAAATAATTCTTTTTCTAATTTATTTTGTTCTTTTGTTTTTACATAAAATTTATGGTCTTGATTGTATACATTTCAATTCCGTAGCAAATTATGTCGAAACCCTTTTTAAAACACGTCTTCAAATTTCTTTGGACTTTTAAATTTGAAGTTGAAATTGACTTTAACAGACAAAGAACCTCATTTTGTTTCTGGTGCATTATATGAAGCGCAAATCTCAAGTTCTGCCAGCCTGACGTCGTTATCCCATTATCCTTGTCTGATTCGGCTGAAAGTTAACTACACATACTTGGAAGTATTCTCTAGATATAGGTTTTTTGTTTCTATTTATGGTCTTTCAGACTATAGTTACAGGGTTTCGAAAATTACGCGTTTGTTGTTCAGCCGGAAGTTTCGATGTTCTAGAGAATTAATAGAAAAAGAGTAGGCGCGATCGATGACGACCAGGAATATGTAGAAAAGAAGTGTTGACAGTGGCAAAAGATGCCGAAAATGAACAAAGATTCATAGAAAGCGCTTATTACAGATCCGAATACAGACGTGACAAAATTTCTGGTTTTAATTGATGTTTTTAGACCTAGCCTTTCAGACCAAGGAATTAATGAAGATTATTGATATTTTTGGGAGTAACTTATCTTGCTCTTGTTCACGTTTTTTTTTCGGACTGGTCCCTTTGCATGAGTGTTCGCTTGAAACACAAACAATCGTTGTCTGATGCTTGATCTGTTCTTTTGTAGACAGTCACTGGATGTTGTTATAGAATACTACACCATTAATGTGGCGAAAGTGTATGATTTTCACTGTTCTCCTATGTTCAATCTTATTCATGATACAATTTTATTTGTATATTATTGACTACGTTCAACAAAGTTCCAACAAATTCTTCTATCACTTTGATAACAATACCAATTACAATCCTGATGATTTTATTAATCATGGATTTAGCCATATCGAATTTAAGCAAGCCATCGAGCGTGAGCTCCATTTGAAACAAGAGTATGATCTGACCGCTGTGCTACTTCATTGGAAGCGTCTGTCAGGCGTGCAAAGAAGTTGCAAACATTTTATTGAGAGTGGTATCTTCAAACAAGTTATTGTTTGGAATAATAATCCGCAAATAATTCTCAATGCTAGCCAGTTTACAATGAGCAATGATTCGTCAACATTTATTCGTGTGATTAATTCGAAAGAAAATCTAAAGGATGAAGCCAAATATCGTGCCTGCGCTATAGCTAAAACACGTGCATGTTTCTATGCCGACGATGATTGGAACACGGCTCTTTATATCAAAAGTCTAGTGGCTAGTTTTCGCTCAGATCCAAAGGTATTGCATTCGATGACCAACTCATACACATACTATAGCCATCTAATATGGACCTTCTTTGATCTTGGAATTGATCTACACACGGGTTTCACATGGATTGGATGTGGTAGCGTTTTTCTACGTGAACACGCTGAACGACATCTTCAATTGCTCCATACATATTTAAAAAATGATCAGGGTAGGAAAAATCATGATCTCGAGATCTAGTATTATTCTGTTATACAATGATCATCCCAGGTCAAAGAAAACGGCGTCGTAAACGGCCGTAAACGGTATAAAACGATGAAAAACGGCGCTATTACGGACCGTAAACCGTCAGCCCGTTTTACGACCACCGTTTAGTGCAGTAAACGATCATCGTTTTTACAAGAAACGGTCACCGTTTTTCGCCGTATTTTAGCCGTAAAATGGGATGATAAAAATAATGCGAGAAGCAATATTGTATAATATTGCACGATATTGTATGGAGACCGTTTTTCGGCATACCGTTTTACGGCTAAAATACAGTGAAAAACGATGACTGTTTCTTGTAAAAACGATGATCGTTTACTGCACTAAACGGTGGCCGTAAAACTGGCTGACAGATTATGGCCCGCAATAGCACCGTTTTATGCCGTTTACGACGCCGTTACGAACATCCGGAATGATCCACCTGGGATGTCGATCCAAGAATCTCTGCAACTAAATCTTTCATATCCCTTATGGAAACATTTCTTTTCTTGACTCGTCAAATGGTTTCTTATTATAGTTTCTGATTTAACTTGCCACCATATTGAAATGATAAACAGAGGAATGACACCTGACCCAGAGATGGATTTGCTCTCGCGAGGAAAATGAAATCCTATTGAATTTACATTTTCAAAAATTCAAAGATTCTTCCAGGAAAAATTTCTGACTGAGTAAATTTTATTATTTTTATGCTTACGATTGTTGATTCGCAGGCGCAGCATATGTACAAAATTGATTAACGATACTGTGCTTATTCGGAATCAGTGT